TCAGCGTGGCGGACATTTCCTTGCCCTAAAACCCTCTTAGGAGTGAGAGGAGGCTTGTACCCACTAGTGGGACGTGTATTAGCTGTGACTTTACCTTACTTTTAACTACCTATGCCTCTACTATGCACAAGCTTAAACGAAGCACCACAGTAAATATATGATATTGTTTATTTGTTACTTGCCTGCTCCACGCCTATATTGAATGCGTAAGAGTAAAGGGAGTCAGTATATGACGATTAATAGAGAATGGAAGAGAAAAACATTCTATGTCTACTCCAAATAACTCGAATGAGAGCAAAAAGAAGAACACTTCCTTGCTTCAAGCCCTCGCAAAAGTAATTTATAATGAGACATAATCGAAACCGTTAGGGGCTGCTTATTTAAATAAAACAATTAAATCCAACAAACAACTGCAGTAAACAGTAATTTATGTAAACACTGGCACTATAGCCCCTGATTCAATTTGCGGATTAATCTTTCTCGGATTGTCTAAATTTACACGTTTCAATACTACATGTAGCTCGGGGTAATTGATTAATGTATGACGGATATGTTACTGTTATATTTGTAAGTCATAAACTCAATCGAAAGCAAAAAGCTAAACTGGAACAACCGTTACAGACTGAAGATGTCCCCTCCTGAACATGGCCCTACTTGATTGACTGCCTTGTTTATACTTGCCATAGTTGCCATGCTTGGTTGGCGCGTTAGTAACCGCAGTTTTAATATTTTTAGTTGTTATCAGATGAATACCGACACCCACGGGACTGTTTATTTGTAATATCATTTATAATCATTTATTTATATATTTTATTGCTGCAGCAAATAGTTTACGTAATATGATTTTTGATATTTACGCGTAAATAACACATTTAATAAAACTATTTTACTGTTGTAATGATAAACGTTTACTATGTTACGGTTTAAAATGGATTTCGGCAAGTAAATTTGGTGTGATTTCATGCAATACATTTCAGCACGAGTGGAATTTTATTGGTGATGATAAAACCAATGCTCCGATCGTGCAATAAACTTTATTGTATGCGATTTGGCGCCTTAAGATACTATCCATCGGCTATCTGCCGATTTGAGAGCTGATATCAATAGTTTCCCAAAAAATCTGCTGACCAGCGGCGTGGCCAAAATATTTTTTTTAAATCATTACCTCCACATTAGCATTTTCTTCTGTATTTTAGTTTACAGGGAATTTAAGCCCGCGGCCTTTAACTCTGCAACCCATTGCTAAGTCATTTAATTTAAAAAAAATGGCTGTTTACAATTATATTGATACTTAAAGAATACTAATCGTAAACCAAAAAATACAGAAAATAATATTTTAATTTGGGTTTCTTTTACCCTCATACTCCAATTTTGTTTATAGAACTTTTAGAAATTAAACTTAAAAGCCTTTAAAATAAAGTTCTAGTAAAATGTACAAGTACGTCGCTTTTTACTACGTACCTTCTTCAGGTCATTGGGTTAAAAAGAGCCCTCGTAACTTAAGAAACTGTAATGAGGCAAGTGGAATATATAATTATATGCTACAAGTTGAAAATTTTAAAGTTAAGGGTTACTTTTTCGCCGTTTTACAGTAATTGAAATGCATAATAGTTCCTTTTTTCTTTCAAACAAAATACTACTACGATTGTATATAACCCGTTTAAGTTTTTTTTATTTTCAGTTTCCCTAAGTTGTTAAACGAATAGTGTATAATTAATACGTGGTAGAGCCACGCTACAACTATATTACGGTTGTAGCACGAATGGGTCGGCTCGACCGGGGAAGAACCACACTCTCACAGAATACCGGCATAAATTAGCAGCTTAATACCGCTGTGTTTTATATGGTGAGTATAGAGATCCGGAGACCCTTTTTACTGGTAAATGAGGCATTCCATCTTAGTCCTCAGAGATGACAACGCTTCTACGTTTTGATTCTTAATCGATGATAAATGTAGATATCTATTGGCCACAGCATCTACTCCATCTCTCCTGTTAGTAGATCAGAAGAGCTGTGTGCTCGCTTTTCATCCTTATTCTATAAAAAAATCCTGTAAACTCCTACTACTGGACCTAGACCTCTCTTGTTGTAAGGAATATTTGCGTTAATTCCCATGCTTATTAGGCTGACTTCAGATTCTATTGACATATAATTTGGCAGTAGAATAGAAAAAAGCTGATATATGTATATAAAAATATTTATAAAAATTTTGTGTTTTTTATAGAATAAGGGCAACCAGCACCAGTCTACGTCGACATACATCCTAGATTACGAATCAAAATGCATATGTAGTTATCACTGAGCAAAAATTTAATAAATTACCTTTTTCTCCAAATTAATTAAAATACTTACAAAACACAATATTTAGAGTCCATATTGCAATATCTAAAACGGCTTACGTAGGCTGAACGTGTTACAGTCGCCTTTATTAAATTCTAACAAAAGACAATCTGAAAAGATGTCTGTGGCCTCCCCGTAGTTCTTTCTAATAGGGACTCCCTTTGTGAAGGTTTTCATTTGATAAACGGTATGTGAAAATATCATAGTAAATTCCAGTTTCATTGCAGTCCACAGAGGTATGTAAAATTACGAATTATGTGAAGAACTTTTGTCAATATAAAAAGTACGAAAATTATTTGGCTGAGCCAAGAAAATATTAAGATGAAAAAATTAATATTTCATAAAGTCAATAAATAAAATTTTATTGAAAGTAAAAGGCGAAATCAAAGAACTAAAAATATTAAAATATATTTCAGGATACCTGTAGGTTTCTATGGGCCACATCAACCACTTACCATCAGGTGGACTGTGTACTTGTTTGTCACATTCTCCTATAAAAAAATATAAAATACATAAGAGCTTCAGAAGTACATATGTGCATACACATAGTGTATAGAAGAATCAATATCACGACTTCAGAAGCTGGTGTGTGGAAAAACGTATGGTATGGTAATAATATCAACGCCTCCGATCAAAAAGTCGATAATCGTTAAATTTAAATTTTACACAGAAAATGATTTCCTGTTATTGTAGTTTATCTCAGGAACGCATTGGAATATTTAAGTGATTGATATTTCAAATGAAAGTTATTTTTTTATAGAACTGACCTTGATGTTGGCGTTAAGTTGCAAGTTTAATGTAAGCAATATATGAAAATTAAAATTACAGTAATTAAAACTACTTTTACGGATTTTATCGCGTTTTATTTATTTTATTTTTAATACCCGACGTTTCGGGTGCTTTCCAGCACCCATGGTCACGGGGGACTGAGGTGACTGACGTCCCGATGTCAAAGTTAACCCGGAGTACCTTCAGCTTTTTAATTATTGTCTTTGGTCCGATCTACGCAGAATGAACTAATCATCCCAAGCAGGTGGCAGCACCCAGCCTCCTTCTTCTTGTTTTTTAATTTCAATAGCCTCACGTATCATCCTTGGTAGATGTTCTAAAAATGCAGTTACTTTGTCTGATGGTAAAATTGTGAAAGTATCGTCTACGTACCGCTTGTAGAACCTTGGGGTGACAGGTGCAGTAAGGAGGGCTTTCTACTCAAAGTCTTCCATGAATATATCGGCGACAATGGGAGATACAGGTGAGCCCATCGCAATACCATCTACTTGCTTGTAAAACTCTTCCTTCCACAATAGATAGCCAGATGTAAGGCAATGTCTTAGTAGTACTGCATATTCTGGTGGCATGTTATTTTCATCTAGTTTCCTAGTTATAATTGAGATGCAGTCTTCAACAGGTAGGCATGTAAATAGAGACTGAACATCAAAACTGACCATGGTTTCATTGTCAGCAAGACGTAGGTCTTTTATCTCACTGACAAAATGGTATAAATCCTTAGTGTGTGCTCTTGTGTATCCTTCTGAGTGGTGATATGTATTTTGGCTAATTATTGAGCCAGTCTGTAAGTTGGCGAATCAATTTGACTCACTATTGGACGTAATGGAGCGTTAGGTTTGTGTATTTTTGGTAACCCATACAACTTAGGAGGTTACCATCTGGTGAACTGTGTGCTCGTTTCAAAGTCAAAGTCAAAATCTTTATTTGCGGAATAAAATGTTTAAGTAATACAGGTATTTAGTATAAGAGTAAGTCTCAATAATATTCTACCGGGTGTTGTACCGGCGTGCAAATATATCTTAAAATAATCAAATTTAATTGTACATATATGTCAAAAGATTAAATAAATTATATAATACATTAAATAATATTGCAATTAATTAAAATATTCCTTAACACAATAATAACATTTGTCAAGAAGCCATTTATTAATCTCAATTTTGAATTTATTCAAAGGCATTTCTTTTAAGTTATTGGACAATTTATTATATATTTTAATAGCCACTTGTTTGTCACCATTATTTATAAAAAATGATACCATGTAACAGTCGTTAGAGTTTTCTGGCATTTTCTATATTCGCCTCTTATGACTTACGTATGGGGTGATTGATCCCCTTAGGCCGCAACCATAGGATGTACACTGCATATATATTCAGATAGGTAAATGCTTAATTTCGACGTGAGACGTGGTCCTTCACTGCTGGTCGTATGAGGACGCTCAAAGTCACTCAGAGAGCTATGGAGAGGGCTATGCTCGGAGTTGCTCTGCATGATAAACTTAGAAATGAGGATATCCGCAGTAGAACCAGAGTGACCGACATAGCCCAACGTATTAGTAAGCTGAAGTGGCAATGGGCCGGCCATATAGCTCGAAGAACCGACAACCGTTGGGGAAGAAGGGTTCTCGAGTGGCAACCTCGTACCTGTAGGCGAAGTGTAGGGCGACCCCCACTAGATGGAGTGACGACCTGGTAAGACGTGCAGGAAGTCGATGGATGCAGGTGGCTCAGGACCGTGCTTTGTGGCGTACCTTGGGGGAGGCCTATGTTCAGCAGTGGACTTGTGAAGGGCTGTAATGATGATGATTATGATGCCTAATTTTGTGTGCGTAAGTTAATGTGAGTTGAACTAGTCTCCTCTTAGTCTCTCACCTTAATCTGCAGAGTAAATCCGCTATCTCAGCAACGAATCTGAAAAAAAAAACTAAAATTAATATCAAACGGTACAACACCTACAGGTAATGGCTATTGTAATCCATATGAACATTGACCATAAACTGCTACCAAATATGTACTCGATAACCTTTTTATAGAAGAGTTGGCAAAAAAATACATATTAATGTATAACAAAAGAGCGCCATTATCGCCAACAAACTGTTGCACAGTTTGGCGATGTCTATTATTATTTTAAATGCGTGTATTTTATATTAATAAAATTATTAAAAAAAACGAGCATGATGACCAATTCTAATATACATGTAACATAATTAACGCACTTTGAGAAAGTAGTTTGTTCAGAATCGTTTACTGAATCGATTCCTATCATTTTTAATATAGGTAATTTTTTATCCCAAAAATAATTAAAACTACGTAAATTATAGTCACACTAAATCTGTACAGTCAAAACAAACTGAAATGGACCGTAACTTAAGGCAATAAGACTTTTAAGAGTGCAGTTTTATTTGTATTATTACTAATTCTGTCATTCAATAAAAATAAAGAAAAATGAACTTTATTTCAAACACGTTAAAGTCTTTGCGTTCGTGGATTTGTACTGTGACTACAGCATTCTTCCGGAATTGGTATAACTAATTTGATAAATAATCAGTGCATAAAAATGTTTAACTAAAAATTCAGCGTATGTATTATGATTATAACATACGCGGGGAACCAAGGCTTAAATCCTGCCGGAGCCAATAAACTTGACAATTCGTCATTTATACCAGATTGACCTACATATGATCGTAATTTTTATATTTTAAATTATAGTCAAGGTTCAATAAAAAGATATTGATATAGGTTGAATAGAATTATAGCCGAGTCGGGGTATATTTAATATTGTTAAAAATGATTCAATTTTTTATTATTTATATCAAATAAAAATTTTAAAATTTATTTATTTAGATTTATTTTACGAATAGTAATTTTTTATTTTATATTATTAATTTAAATTTTAAATAGCTTATATATAGAGCATAATATTGAAGATATTAAGTAAATTATATAATCTTTAAATATTTATAAAAAAATCTTTTTACAATGAAAATGTAATGTTTTATTATAAAATATATAATAAAATATAAATGCTTATTTAGAACGTACTCGGCAACGTAGGAAAACATCGTGGAGATATCTATATATTTAAGGAATAAATTCGCTACAGCCTATTAAAGGCCGGAGTTAAATATAGGCCTTCCCATGAATTGATTTAAAAGAGGCTGCATGCCATATTTGCCACGCTTTTGATTGACAACCGCAGTTTATTATTTTTAGGTGGTGGAGGTGTTTTTTTGCGAACCAGTGGTAAATGAAAAAAGTGACTTTCAATAAGTATTATTTGCAGTCTATATTGAATAAAAAAGTTTATCTTTCTCTTTAGTAATTAGCTGCTGCCCATCTTCTGGTTTGTTTTACCCTGCCGCCTCTTGCGACACCCACGAGAAGTTTAACTGAAGTAATATGTACCATAGTAGAACAGACACTGCGATCAAAATCTGTGCGGCTGAGCGGAGCACGTGGTCGGAGGCACAGAGTAACTTTTTATACATAGACTAAGTATAACGCTATGCACATAGCAAAAGGCTAGTGTTAGAGCCCACGGGCTCAGACTTACTTAGACTATTTCATAAAAATGAACGTGATGCAAACAACGATTGAACGTTGTAGAATAGCAGAACAAAACAGAATAGAATAGAATGGCATAATCGCGGAAGTTCGAAGAAGTTTTTGGCCAAAAAGTTTTTTGTGCATTCATGTATTTGTAAAAAGCTTATGACAGAGTGTACAAAGATTTGTCATGGTAAATATTGAACTCATTTGAGTAGAGCCCCGGGTTGATACAGAAAGCTAAGTGCGGGTTAAGAATAGGTGAGGTAACCGTCAAATGTCTTTTGTACGCCGATGATCAAGTTATATTTGCATCGTCTGCGACCGAGTTGCAAATGATGGTTACATTAATTAACAGGTCATTAAAATAAAGGGGAATGAAAGTGAACGTAAGTAAGACGAAAGTTATGGTTTTTGTAAGAGAAGAATGGAAAACGATATGTGAAGAAGAATAGAAGGGGTCGAGCAAGTAGATGAGTTTGTATATTTGGGATGTGTATTCAGCAGGGATGGGAGATATTATAAAGATATAGCACGTCGAGTGAACGCAGGAAATAAAGTAAGTGGGGCTCTATACTCTATTGTGGAAAGTCAGAATGTGTCAAAAAAGCACGTATGGCAATTCACACTGCTGTGTTAGTCCCTTCTTTAACGTATGGTAGTGAAAGCTGGGTGTGGCAAGAGAGTAAAAGAAACACGGTAGAAATGCGGTCGAATTACGGTAGAATTACTGCTTAAGCATAAGTATTAGTATAAGAATTAGGAAGTCGATGAATGCATGTGGCTCAGGACCGTGCTTTGTGGCATACCTTTGGGAGGCCTATTTTCAGAAGTCATGGTGATGATGATGATGATTAGTGTAAAATTTGTGGGTAAACCAAAGAAATAAATAAAATAATGTGGTAGTATAATAAAATAAAAGTACGTAGTAAAAACAACCGCCTGCGGTGCCTCAACTTACAGCCTGATGGATTTATCCCAGCCGGTTAAAATTCCGCCTCTACCTCATCATTTCACAATCTTCCTCTTTTTTTCTCTTCTAAAGTCTGCTTCTTCTTTATTACTCAAGAATCAAAAAGGAAAATTATAGTCTTCAGAGGGGTAAAATAGATATTATGATTATATTTATAACTCAACTATTTTTTTTTTAGAAGTTCAGGTGGACACAGTGATCACTGATAATTTAGAAAATAAAACTTCTAATTTATTTTCTTTTAGGGCAGAGAGAATATAAATTACTACGTTTATTTTAGGGGTTTTCTATTTTGACACGGTTTTTGACATTTTATTCAGCGTTCTTTAACTTATTTTATAATTTCATTGTTTCACCCTCTTTGGTTCGACCTAAAACGTAGTGATGTGGTGACAATCACTCTCAATAATTTTCAACCAAAGAGATTTAAATGACTACTACATACTTAAATGTCTTTGTTTTCGACCATGCGATTTGAGATTTTAATTTAAAATAAAGACCAAAAAGAGTAGATAATTGTACTATATAAACTATTTTAAATATTCATAAAGAAATAACAAAACATATGTAAATACTTAAACTTAAAAAATTATAAAACAAACTTCAAAGAACTAAAAAGATTGTAATAGAAAATTATTCGCCCATATGTCATCGTTTGCGTATTTAGGTGATTTTCTCATTGATCCAATCATCAGATATTGATAGCCAATTTATATCCTGAAGTATCTTTAAAAAATAATATAATTTGACCTATTCAAATTATTTTTTCTACTCACACATTCCCAAAAACATCTCGTCGAATATGCAACCTTCTTGTCTTTAAATTCGGTTAAAAATAAATTTATATCGAAAGATAATAACTAACGTTTTTTATTTTATTTTATAAAACTAAACTGACAAGCATCAACATCTTCAGCCAATTAAAAACAAAGAAGGCTACAATTGCGTTTTCACCTCCGAAGACTGAGATGTAAGAAGATGATTCTCTATACCCTTTAGGCCGGAACAAAGCAATGCAAACATTACTATTTGACAACAGAAATAGGTAAGAGTGTGGGCCTACCCAGACCGGCACTAATATAAGCAGAAATTAATCAACGGATTTTAGGATGAAATTCGATCACGGCGGTCAGTCTCGACGGTGACTAGCCATCTGCACAGAACAGAATCATAGCGTCCTGCACTCTTTATTAAATCACTCTTATAGTACGATGGGACGTTGATCTGACACGATCGAAGAGAGATCAGGCGCAGCGCCATTGGCTTTACGTTCTTTCCGAGGCACGGAGTTAAAACACTGCCAACTTCTCTATTATCTTCTTCATTATTAAAAAATTCTTGACAGAAAAGGCCCATAAATGATTTTGGATCTATCCGGGATATGAAACTTCATCCACCACTAGAACAATGAGGCAGCCCTAGCATAAATGAGTCCCATAACACATTGCGTTACTATTAGCAATAAGTGCAAGCAAATCTAAAAATATTAACCCCACAACCATCCTATGGGTGAAGTCGATGCTCTCAAACAGAAAGGCAAAAATAGCGCTGTTTCAAACTTCGATTGAGGTTGCAACTACAAGAGGCTGCCCACAAGGAGGTGTTTTGTCACCCCTTCTTTGGACTCTTGCGGTTGACCAACTATTGTACAAAATGGCAGACCTACGCATTGACACATTGGGTTATGCTGATGACCTTGTGATCATTGCGAAGGGCTTCTGCCAAAGTACTTTATCGTCAATAATACAAAGAGCCCTAAACACCATAAATAATTGGTGTAGGGATAACAGTTTACGAGTATTAGTTAATGCAGATAAAACCGTTATACCTATATTAACCCTTTACTAAAAAGAGACAGTTTGACAACTTAGTCCAACCAAAACTTAATGGTAAAGAAATACCATTTTCCACGGATGTTAAGTACTTGGGCGTAACAATCGACCAAAAACTAACGTGGAACTCTCACCTTAGCAAAGTATGCCATAAGGCAAAAATTGCTTTAGGTACTTGCAGTCGTTTGGTCGGGAACAACTGGGGCTTGCGTCCCAGCATGGTCCTATGGCTGTACAACAGCATAGTGAGGCCGATTCTCACCTACGCCTCTATTGTTTGGTGTAACAAGGCCAATAAAAAGACGACTGCGGACAGACTAAACAGTCTACAAAGGACTGCTTGCTTAATGACAACTGGGTCTATGCGATCATCGCCTGGAGCGGCTCTTAATGCACTTCTGTGCCTAACGCCCCTTGATCTCTATCTAGACAAGGAGGCGAAGGCTTGTTTGTATAGGATTTACGCCTAGGGCGGTCTGACCTTGCCCTCCTACTCCTACAGTTTGATAAAAAGTATATAGTGGAATTATCCTCCAGAGAAGACTGGCTGAAAGGCCAGG